ACTGTCACTATGGCGGTGTGTCCACTCACAGGATGAGTGGCGCTGCCCAATACTGTCACTATGACGGTGTGTCCACTCACAGGATGAGTGACGCTGCCCAATACTGTCACTATGGCGGTGTGTCCACTCACAGGATGAGTGGCGCTGCCCAATACTGTCACTATGACGGTGTGTCCACTCACAGGATGAGTGACGCTGCCCAATACTGTCACTATGGCGGTGTGTCCACTCACAGGATGAGTGGCGCTGCCCAATACTGTCACTATGGCGGTGTGTCCACTCACAGGATGAGTGGCGCTGCCCAATACTGTCACTATGGCGGTGTGTCCACTCACAGGATGAGTGACGCTGCCCAATACTGTCACTATGGCGGTGTGTCCACTCACAGGATGAGTGACGCTGCCCAATACTGTCACTATGGCGGTGTGTCCACTCACAGGATGAGTGGCGCTGCCCAATACTGTCACTATGGCGGTGTGTCCACTCACAGGATGAGTGGCGCTGCCCAATACTGTCACTATGGCGGTGTGTCCACTCACAGGATGAGTGGCGCTGCCCAATACTGTCACTATGGCGGTGTGTCCACTCACAGGATGAGTGGCGCTGCCCAATACTGTCACTATGGCGGTGTGTCCACTCACAGGATGAGTGGCGCTGCCCAATACTGTCACTATGGCGGTGTGTCCACTCACAGGATGAGTGGCGCTGCCCAATACTGTCACTATGGCGGTGTGTCCACTCACAGGATGAGTGGCGCTGCCCAATACTGTCACTATGGCGGTGTGTCCACTCACAGGATGAGTGGTGCTGCCCAATACTGTCACTATGGCGGTGTGTCCACTCACAGGATGAGTGGTGCTGCCCAATACTGTCACTATGGCGGTGTGTCCACTCACAGGATGAGTGGCGCTGCCCAATACTGTCACTATGGCGGTGTGTCCACTCACAGGATGAGTGGTGCTGCCCAATACTGTCACTATGGCGGTGTGTCCACTCACAGGATGAGTGGTGCTGCCCAATACTGTCACTATGGCGGTGTGTCCACTCACAGGATGAGTGGTGCTGCCCAATACTGTCACTATGGCGGTGTGTCCACTCACAGGATGAGTGGCGCTGCCCAATACTGTCACTATGGCGGTGTGTCCACTCACAGGATGAGTGGTGCTGCCCAATACTGTCACTATGGCGGTGTGTCCACTCACAGGATGAGTGGCGCTGCCCAATACTGTCACTATGGCGGTGTGTCCACTCACAGGATGAGTGGCGCTGCCCAATACTGTCACTATGGCGGTGTGTCCACTCACAGGATGAGTGGCGCTGCCCAATACTGTCACTATGGCGGTGTGTCCACTCACAGGATGAGTGGCGCTGCCCAATACTGTCACTATGGCGGTGTGTCCACTCACAGGATGAGTGGTGCTGCCCAATACTGTCACTATGGCGGTGTGTCCACTCACAGGATGAGTGACGCTGCCCAATACTGTCACTATGGCGGTGTGTCCACTCACAGGATGAGTGGCGCTGCCCAATACTGTCACTATGGCGGTGTGTCCACTCACAGGATGAGTGGCGCTGCCCAATACTGTCACTATGGCGGTGTGTCCACTCACAGGATGAGTGGCGCTGCCCAATACTGTCACTATGGCGGTGTGTCCACTCACAGGATGAGTGGCGCTGCCCAATACTGTCACTATGGCGGTGTGTCCACTCACAGGATGAGTGGCGCTGCCCAATACTGTCACTATGGCGGTGTGTCCACTCACAGGATGAGTGGCGCTGCCCAATACTGTCACTATGGCGGTGTGTCCACTCACAGGATGAGTGGCGCTGCCCAATACTGTCACTATGGCGGTGTGTCCACTCACAGGATGAGTGGCGCTGCCCAATACTGTCACTATGGCGGTGTGTCCACTCACAGGATGAGTGGCGCTGCCCAATACTGTCACTATGGCGGTGTGTCCACTCACAGGATGAGTGGCGCTGCCCAATACTGTCACTATGGCGGTGTGTCCACTCACAGGATGAGTGGCGCTGCCCAATACTGTCACTATGGCGGTGTGTCCACTCACAGGATGAGTGGCGCTGCCCAATACTGTCACTATGGCGGTGTGTCCACTCACAGGATGAGTGGCGCTGCCCAATACTGTCACTATGGCGGTGTGTCCACTCACAGGATGAGTGGCGCTGCCCAATACTGTCACTATGGCGGTGTGTCCACTCACAGGATGAGTGGCGCTGCCCAATACTGTCACTATGGCGGTGTGTCCACTCACAGGATGAGTGGCGCTGCCCAATACTGTCACTATGGCGGTGTGTCCACTCACAGGATGAGTGGCGCTGCCCAATACTGTCACTATGGCGGTGTGTCCACTCACAGGATGAGTGGCGCTGCCCAATACTGTCACTATGGCGGTGTGTCCACTCACAGGATGAGTGGCGCTGCCCAATACTGTCACTATGGCGGTGTGTCCACTCACAGGATGAGTGGCGCTGCCCAATACTGTCACTATGGCGGTGTGTCCACTCACAGGATGAGTGGCGCTGCCCAATACTGTCACTATGGCGGTGTGTCCACTCACAGGATGAGTGGCGCTGCCCAATACTGTCACTATGGCGGTGTGTCCACTCACAGGATGAGTGGCGCTGCCCAATACTGTCACTATGGCGGTGTGTCCACTCACAGGATGAGTGGTGCTGCCCAATACTGTCACTATGGCGGTGTGTCCACTCACAGGATGAGTGGTGCTGCCCAATACTGTCACTATGGCGGTGTGTCCACTCACAGGATGAGTGGTGCTGCCCAATACTGTCACTATGGCGGTGTGTCCACTCACAGGATGAGTGGTGCTGCCCAATACTGTCACTATGGCGGTGTGTCCACTCACAGGATGAGTGGCGCTGCCCAATACTGTCACTATGGCGGTGTGTCCACTCACAGGATGAGTGGCGCTGCCCAATACTGTCACTATGGCGGTGTGTCCACTCACAGGATGAGTGGCGCTGCCCAATACTGTCACTATGGCGGTGTGTCCACTCACAGGATGAGTGGCGCTGCCCAATACTGTCACTATGGCGGTGTGTCCACTCACAGGATGAGTGGTGCTGCCCAATACTGTCACTATGGCGGTGTGTCCACTCACAGGATGAGTGGCGCTGCCCAATACTGTCACTATGGCGGTGTGTCCACTCACAGGATGAGTGGCGCTGCCCAATACTGTCACTATGGCGGTGTGTCCACTCACAGGATGAGTGGCGCTGCCCAATACTGTCACTATGGCGGTGTGTCCACTCACAGGATGAGTGGCGCTGCCCAATACTGTCACTATGGCGGTGTGTCCACTCACAGGATGAGTGGCGCTGCCCAATACTGTCACTATGGCGGTGTGTCCACTCACAGGATGAGTGACGCTGCCCAATAGGGCAAAATGTAAACGGGGGGTGTGATCCAGGGCGGCTGGAGCTGGTGTCATACTGCTCAATCATTTTGCACGAGGTTGTATACCTGCTGCTGGTGCAGGAGGAGGAGGAGGGGCAGGATGACAGGATGTGTTGTGAATTACAGACGCCATGTTGATGATGATGACAACTGTGGCCGGGGGAGAGAGGCCAGCCACACCTGCCAAGGACCTAGGGAACTCTCATGCGAACACGATATCTTGAGGTTATCTTGAGATGATTTCCCTCAGTACCATGGGAACACCATGGGGACACCGTAGGAACACCGTGGGAACACCAAGGGGGACACCGTAGCAACACCGTGGGAACACCCAGGGAACACCAAGGGAACACCAAGGGAACACCATGGGAACACCATGGGAACACCAAGGGAACACCAAGGGAACACCCAGGGAACACCATGGGAACACCGTGGGAACACTAAGGGAACATGTCCCCAGCGGGCAGGAAACTTCTTATCGAGGTCTCCCTCTACCCACTGAGTGACCGTCACTGATCATACAACCCACAACAGTCCACTAACTCCCAGGTTCCTCGTTATTGTTAGATGAACAGAAACATTCCGTTGAGAAACGGGGCCCAATCGCCTGGCCCTGCTCAGGACCCGCGGACCCGCAGACCAACGGACCAACAGACCCGCGAACCCGCAGACCAACGGACGAACAGACCCGCAGACCAACGGACCAACAGACCCGCGGACGCGCAGACCAACGGACCAACAGACCCGCAGACCAACGGACCAACAGACCCGCGGACCAACGGACCCGCGGACCCGCAGACCAACGGACCAACAGACCCGCAGACCAACGGACCAACAGACCCGCAGACCAACGGACCAACAGACCCGCGGACCAACGGACCAACAGACCCGCGGACCCGCAGACCAACGGACCAACAGACCCGCGGACCCGCAGACCAACGGACCAACAGACCCACGAGCGGTGACCACTGTCTGCGTGTGAGGGAGGGCTCGGCGTGTCTGCTGGAGCCCTCCATCACTGCGCCAGGTGCGGCGGGTGCCCCATTTGGAGGGCAAGATGAAGGCTGGTTTTAACGCTTTCAGTAAGTGGCCAGTTCCCCATGTATGGCCCGACACTCATGTTATATACATGTGGGGAGCAGCGCCTATAGTCGTCCCAGGTGAGGCGGGGGGGGGGGGCTGAGCTCTGGCTCTTTGGTCCCGCCTCTCAACTGTCAATCAACTGATGTACAGGTTCCTGAGCCTACTGGCCTCTATCATATCTATATTTGAAGCTGTGTATGGAGTCAGCCTCTACCACATCACTTCCTAATGCATTCCATTTGTCAACTACCCTGACACTAAACAAAAAATTATAATGTCTGTATAGCTCATTTGGGCACTCAGTTTCCACCTGTACTCACCTAGTACTCACCTAGTTGTGTTTGCGGGGGTTGAGCTCTGACTCTTTGGTCCCGCCTCTCAACCGTCAATCAACCTGTGTCCCCTAGTGCGTGTGCCCCTTGTGTTAAATAGTCTTGTCTTTTTCTACCCTATCAATTCCTTTGAAAATCTTGTCTGTGGTGATCATGTCCCCTCTAACTCTTCTGTCTTCCAGCGACGTGAGGTTTAATTCTCGTAGTCTCTCCTCGTAGCTCATACCCCTCAGTTCGGGTACTAGTCTGGTGGTAAACCTTTGAACCTTTTCCACTTTTGTCTTATGCTTGATTCGGACTCCATGCTGGAGCTGCATACTCCAGGATTGGTCTGACATATGTGGTATACAAAGTTCTGAATAATTCCTTACACAAGTTTCTAAAGGCCGTTCTTATGTTGGCCAACCTGGCATATGCCGCTGATGTTATTCTCTTGATATGGGCTTCAGGGGACAGGTCTGGCGTGATATCAACCCTCAGGTGTCTGTCTGTCTGTCTGTCTCTCTCTCGCCCAATTTCTCTGTCATTAAATTGTTCTGCCGCTTCTATTGTCACTGCTGGGGTGGAGGGTAGGATAAGACTTAGAGTTGATTTGGCAGCGCCAGTGAATCTGTGAGTGAACATATACAACACCCCTTCCCCCCCCTACCAAACCTGCTAGGTTGTTCATCATATCACTGACACCCAGACACAGCTGGGACTTAACTGTCACAAGTGAACACTCTCAGACACGGGGGACTAACGTCTTAACACCATCAAGCTCACGTTATCTTGCTGCTACAAAGTGGAGAAATCTTTTCAAGACAGTATCTACCTTGAGCAGTAGTGTTCCTTGTCCACACAACATTGGCTGTGTTACACACCCAGAATCTCTTAGAATTAAATGAGAAAAGAAGAAATATAACATATTTGCTTACTGTAGTGTAAGGCTGAATACCAAACCTGAAAAAGCATCATTTTACCGTCAAAAAGCTAATTTTATGACGAGATAAAGCCAAAATTGGCGGTGAGTGAAAGGAAGTCGACGAGGCACTCAGACCGTCGACATTCTTTACTGTCAACACCAATTTTGTTATAAAAATTAGCTTATTTCCTATTAAAAAAAATTTCATGTTCTACATTCAGCCACAAATGCTATATTTCTGGTTTTCTGTGTTTGTAAGAGGTTCTTCAGCCACAATTTCAGACAAGCTGACAATATGGATACAATATATCTTTATCTAATATCTGTGCTAAAGGGAGCCGGTCGGCCGAGCGGACAGCACACAGGACTTGTGATCCTGTGGTCCCGGGTTCGATCCCAGGCGCTGGCGAGAAACAATGGGCAAAGTTTCTTTCACCCTATGCCCCTGTTACCTAGCAGTAAAATAGGTACCTGGGTGTTAGTCAGCTGTCACGGGCTGCTTCCTGGGGGTGGAGGCCTGGTCGAGGACCGGGCCGCGGGACACTAAAGGCCCGAAATCATCTCAAGATAACCTCAAGATAGAAGAAGACTTCTTACTTACCTGTGCTACCTGCCTGCTTGCTTCTTGAAGAAGAGGTTAGCCGGCCGTCTGGGTTGTACAGGGATCTAGATGAAGTAAAGTGTGTGGACAAAGACAGGGACACACTACACCATTACATCTTAGACTCTGAAAACAATTGAGCCATTTAGAGAGAAATATTAAACTTACGCTGCATGAAATGGCAAAACGTCTTATTACAAATGATTAAATATATGAAATCTTTGCTCTGTATCCTTGTACTGTATCCTTGCACTGTACCCATGCACTGTACCCATGCACTGTACCCTTGCACTGTACCCTTGCACTGTACCCTTGCACTGTACCCATGCACTGTACCCTTGCACTGTACCCTTGCACTGTATCCTTGCACTGTATCCTTGCACTGTACCCTTGCACTCTCCCCACACACTAGAAAAGCGTGTGTGGGGGGCAGAGAGTAGCGTGTGTGTGTGGGAGAGAGTAGCGTGAGAGAATAATATGGGAGAGTAGTGGTGGTGGCGACCACACTTAAGTGATATATTTGACACGGTCACTGTACCTTTCCACCGCCCTGTTCCTCTTCCACATCCCTTAGCTTCCCCTCACACCTCTGTCCCGCCTCTCTCTCCCTCCTCTCTCCCTCCTCTCTCTCCCTCCTCGCCACCACCTTCTAAAGCAACACATCAAATGATAAGTGGCACCTTCTGCAACACCGGTGTCATCTCTCAAGATGGCACCCTTATCAAGATTGTTATGATATATGATCACAAAAGGTTGTTACACTTGCTATACTACCTCCTTTGTGAATGGCGCGATCTCCGCTGTTTTCATCGTCGTGGACAACACCAGTTCCTTGGCTTCGTCTGCAGCAGGTATTTAGGGGCCTTTTATAGTGGTGATTTGCACTTCTTGGTGATTTTTTGGAATGTTATCTACATTAATAATAAGATGACATAGTCTGCCTAGTCTGTTTTATAGACATATTCTGCCTAGTCTGTTTTATAGACATATTCAGCCTAGTCTGTTTGTATTATATAATGAATCTATATGTGGGGCCGGTTGGTCGCTCCAAGCAACTGTTGGGTCAAGGAATGACAAGTGAAGCTTGACCTCAGGCCGGCTCGGGGTGTAGCATAACTCTCAGAACTCCTCCAGGTAAGCTCCAGGTTAACGTCACTAAGGTGCGCATGTTGACTGTAACGTTAACACGTGGGTGTGTATTTACCTAGTTGTGCTTGCGGGGGTTGAGCTCTGGCTCTTTGGTCCCGCCTCTCAACTGTCAATCAACTGGTGTACAGGTTCCTAACCTTTTAGGCTCTATCATATCTACATTTGAAACTGTGTATGGAGTCAGCCTCCACCACATCACGCTTAATGCATTCCATTTACTAACTACTCTGACACTGAAACAAATTCTTTGTAATGTCTCTGTGGCTCATCTGGGTACTAAGTTTCCACCTGTGTCCCCTTGTTCATGTTCCACCAGTGCTGAAGAGTTTGTCTTTGTCCACCCTGTCAATTCCCCTGAGAATTTTGTAGGTGGTTATCCTGATGATATCCTTTTGATATCCTTTTGAATGGGAGAGTAGTGGTGGTGGCAACCACACTTAAGTGATATAACTTAAGAGGCCCTTGATGTGGGCCTCTGGGGACAGGTTCGGTGTGATATCGACCCCCAGGTAGAGACAGTAGGCCAGGTAAGTGTTCTTGACGACTTGGTGGGCAGGTTCTGTGTTCTCTCGCTTGCAACACCTTCCCTTTCTCTCACCTTTGATCCTCCTCTCATAATACTGATGTGACATTTACAACAATTGTTTGATCATAAAATTTACGTAATTATATATATATATATATATATATATATATATATATATATAAATGGTAACAACAACATACCGGAAACGTACAAAATCAGAGCACAAATCACCAAGAAAATTGAAGAGGGAAATACCGCAAGTGCTATTAGAGTCCTCACCAGTGACGAGAAAATTGCTCCTCGAAACTCAGCCACAGCACGGGCCCTGCAAAGCAAGCACCCACCCAGAGCCCCTCAAGGCGACACCATCGTTCCGCCATCAGCCGACACCATTTCAGACCCATTAACAGTTGGTGAATCTGAGGTCTACAAAGCAGCCCTTTCTTTTCCACCTGGGTCAGCAGGCGGCTTTACAGGGTTAAAACCTCAACATATCAAGCAAATGTTAAATCCTGCGGTTGGTGATGCTGCACAAGATCTTCTTATGGAACTCACAAGGTTCGTCAACATGTGTCTGGCTGGTGAGATACCTGAGGTCATCAGGCCTCTCTTTTTTGGTGCCTCCCTCTGTGCTCTCAAAAAGAAGGACGAAGGAATCAGGCCAATCGCTGTTGGCAACACTCTCCGACGCCTGATTGCCAAGGCTGCTACGAGGGTTGTCAGCCAGCAAGCGGCTGAATTGCTGAAACCAATCCAGCTAGGATTTGGAATCCCCCAAGGCTGTGAAGCGGCTGCCCATGCAGCACGAGCATACATCACAAACATTTCTGATGAAAAGGCCCTGCTCAAACTGGACTTTAAGAATGCCTTCAACATGGTAAGAAGAGATGCAGTACTTTGTGCCGTACATCGCCATTTCCGGCCCCTCTACCCGTTCATACTATCGTGCTACAGTGGCGAGTCAAAACTGCTCTTTGGTGAACATGAAATCAGATCATGTGAAGGTGTTCAGCAAGGTGATCCTCTTGCTCCCCTTCTTTTCTGCTTAGTCTTAAAAGAAATCACCGAAAGCTTGTCCAGCGAGTTCAACATCTGGTTTTTGGATGATGGCACTATAGCTGGCACCGTAGACCACCTCTTGTCAGATATCAGGAAAATAAGGGAGCAAGAAGTAAGCCTGGGTCTCGTCCTGAACCCTTCCAAGTGTGAAGTAGTCTCCTCCAACCCAGACATCGTAGCTAGAATAAGGTCTGCCTTGCCTGGAGCCCATGTCATTAGGGCCGAGAACAGCACCCTCCTTGGAGCTCCCCTCGGGTCTAACGCCATTGAGGAGATCCTCGACAAGAAAATCGCAGACCTTAGGAGGATGGAAGACAGAATAGGTGACATCGATGCCCACGATGCTTTTTATCTCCTCACCAAATGCCTATCCCTTCCGAGGCTAACCTACTTTCTGAGGTGTGCCCCATCTTACAACAA